TGCGCGCGCACGGCCGCTGAACTCGGCTTAAGCGGCGGCTTAGACACATAGTTTTTCCTGTTGTTGTTTCAAGCATAAGCATAAATTGCATTTACGAGTTTTGAAAGTCGCGGAAAACCCTTCTTGAGAGATCTCAGTCATGCGTGTGTTTAAGCGTTGGTTTCAAGAGAATTTTTCAATGTAGTAGGCACGGTGCACATTAGAGCGATACGATAAGCGATGCGGTGCGAAAGCAATATCGACATGCTAAGTACGTGGGAATTGGTAGGAAACGATGAAAACTGTGCTCACTTGCACGACAGCGCCACTGCGGCGACATATATCGGCCGAGCGACACGGTTTGCTATCACACCCCATATAGTATCGCGTGTCGTATTGCTCTAATGGAAAACCCTAAATACTATAAAAAAATGAGATTTTTTTAAATACAGTTTACAAAATTACAATAAAATAAATATTTAAAAAAAATTCCTGCTCAGGAACTCGAACCTTGCATCTCTCGACTAGCTCTCCAGAGCTTTGCTCTATCGGCCATTGCGACTGTTTGAGCGCCGCGAGTAAAATGACATAATTTTTCCTTTCGCGGTAAGTAAATTGTGTTTTCTCTAAACTGAGTGAAATCGTTTACTCATATTAAGTCAGCCATGTCTTTGGCGGCTGTGGTGTAGTGGTAAGCAGTGCGCGCTTTCACTCATCAGCACCTGGTTCAAACCCTGGTCAAGGCAACATCGCAAAAAATATAGAAAAAAGGTATTTTCTTAACAGCGGTCGTCCCTCGGCAGGCAATGGCTAACCTCCGAGTGTATTTCTGCCATGAAAAACAGCTTCTCATAAAAATACAATCCCCGTTCGGAGTCGGCGTAAAACGGTAGGGCCGGCCCCCCGCTTTGTGTGACAACATCAAGGCACACGCCACAAGTCGGAGGAGAAGCTCGGCCAAACACTAACATATGTGTAAGCGCCAATCTATAGGTGCAATCCCGTATTCCTCGGACTCGGACTAATAAAACTGTCAAAAAATAAAAATTCGCTCAGAGCGAGAGAGTAACATTGAAAAGTACGGGATCGCTTTCTAGTAAAAAATGGTAACTTCTGTCAACTTCAACATAACCTCCAAATTTTGGTTGTAAATTTTTGCTTATTTTGTATGTAAACACACTCAGCTCACACAAGCAAATAACCAAAAATACTTTCAAATTCATTAGAATCCACTTAAACAAGTATTAAATACTTTTCAACATGACTTAGCAGAGTGCACTTTTCTTTTGTTTACAATTTGGTTGCCAAACACACTACAGCTGATCGTTTGACACATTTACCAGAATTTACCAGCAAAAAATTCTCGGACTAAAACTGGTAACTTCTGACAGAGAGAGAACCGTGTTTACTCTCTTTTTTGTCCTCTCAATAGTCGGAGAACCGAGTACGGGATCGATTTCCAGTAAAATCTGACTGATTCTGACTAGTCCGGACTCGTACGGGATCGCAACTTATTATTATTATTATGTCTTTGGAGCCTTTTCAAGGTATTATTTCCTCATGATTCAATAAAAAAAGGTTTGCTCAAAAAACAGTTTTCTCGCTACCTCTTGACAAAATCGGCTCCCTTAACAAGGCACTGTGTGTGGGTTCATGTGTGTGTGCAAAGCTTTTGTAAGGGAGTGTCAAAACTCTAATGTCACCAGGGAAGCCCACTCGTGGGGAGTTCCTCGATTTGCGGGGAATTTCAGTTTGCGTGGGGAATCGGTGAATGGACCGTTTTTTGTGGGGAATTTCAGCTCGTTCAATTCTAGTATAATAAGGTTTCAAATGGCTAAAAATTATCGTTGATTTTTTTAAATTTTGTTTGTCGCGTTTGCTTTCATATAACGAATAAACATACAGACCAATTCTGAACACAAACTCCCTGGGAGTTTTTTCTCTTTTCCCTTTCCTCCTATCATGAAAAAAAATTTCCCTGAGGTTTTTTTTATATTAAATGGCGGAGTTGAGCTCTCAAAAGAGTGTCAAACAGCTTTCTCGAAGTTTGAATTTGCTCTTCTCAAGCTTTCGGGGAAACTGCTACTCCATGGGAGCTCATTGTTGGATGATTTCTTGTTCAGGAGAAACAAATTCCCGGAGAACAAACTCCCCGGGAGTATTAAGAATTCGTCTGATAATTTATTTTCATATGGAAAACCACAAAAACCTTGGCAAATAAATTCTAAAACGAAAATTTTTAGACACTTGAAACTTGCACTTTATTATAATAGAATTGAGTGGGCTACAAACGGCATACTCAAAATCTTTCTAGTCGAATTAAAAAGCTCGAAATTTTTACGAAAGTTTGTTGATTTTTTTCAAATGTTGCACAGAGTTTAAAACTTGGATTTATATGGTATTTGTTAAATTATGAACTATATTTTTAAAGAAAAAACTCAAATTAAATATCGCAATAGAAATACTTGGTGAGACTAAAGTTTTTTCGATCAGTGTATGTATTGTATAAACATTTTTTATTATTTATTTGTTAACTAACTTTATAAAACTTTGTAGACAGAAGGACCAGCAATACATCAAGATACATACATTCTATTTTTGTGATTTATTTTTTTTTTTTGTAAATAAGGAAATATCTATGGGTGGGGAATTTGACGAAATTTCGGGCAAAATCGGGGAATTTCATTGTCGAAATCGGGGAATTCTCAAAAATGAGTAGGCTACCCTGAATGTCACTAATGAGCAAACCTTTAATTATTGAATTCATGATATTTCCTTAGAATTATACTGTGCTTAGAATAATATACTTTTTGCCTAGCATCAAGAAATGTTTTTTTTTTTTTAGTGTAGTTCAAGGCGAATACATATCAGGTGGTATCGATTCAACAAATACAACAATTACTTGTATTTTGTTTTTGCTTTTAGCGGGCCATTGTCAAATTTCAGCTATTCTTCCCCGAATGAAAAAGGGCGACAGAAAATACAAACACTCCCACGTTTTCACTCACTCGCTAACGAAATACAAAATTTTGACAATCAAACGCTACGCACAGCTGATGAAACAACACCACCTTATATAAATTCGCCTTGGTGTAGTTTTTTGCCATGATAGGTTTGTTCGTCGAAAATCCAGCAAGAATTATCCAACACTCAAAATATCAGAGAGTAAGAAAAAATTCTCTCAAATTCTCTCTCATGTTGAGAAAATTGCAAATTTCTGCACGAACGCAAATTTGCAGGAATTTGCACGTTTCCCTACCAGCTGGCGTCCACGGTTGCATTTCAAACATAAAAAAATTGTATAGAATTTTTAAAATTCTTTCGGATGGCCAAAAACAGGATATACATGTATATTTCTTGTTGTTCTGACTTTCGTTAACATACATTTCAATTTCTTCATCGTACTAGCTGTCGGGTTTCTTAAATCGACTCTGGTTGAAATTGCATTCCGATTGCGAATACCATTTTTTTCAGCCGAATTAAGTTCAAATCATTGGAATTAACTAAATTAATTATATCAACAATTATTTGTTTATAAATTTTTAAATTTAACGAACTAATTTATTCAAATTATTGTAGACAAAAATGCAACCATGCACCACAACCACATGTATTTCGTGTTTGCAAATTCTTGCTGGCAAAATTTTTTCCAGCAAGAATTTGCAACTTCTCTCCAAGAGAACTGTCACTTTGCTCTCACAATTTTTGAGTGTTGGATAATTTTTTGGTCTGCACGAACGCGATTTGGGCAAAAATCGTGATAATTCGTACAAATTCGTACAAATTTTTTGCTCGACGAACAAACCTGATGTCATCAACTTTTCACTCAATTATATTTAAAAACTTCAACGTATAAAAAATAAAATTTAAAAAATTGTGTCAAATATTCAACAAATTGCAGCGATTTCTAACAGGAGTGCTATCAACATTTTTGCAAAACCAGCCAAATGTCTTCATCGGAGGTGAAATTATATTTTTTCCACATTTTTTATTTATGTACATAGTATGTATGTATTTCAAAGTATTAAATGTTAACTTTGTTGGCACCTGAAAAGAAAAGTGTCGAGGTTCTAGCGCATTCGAAGCGAATATTTTTGTATATACATTTGAGGGCGATTGAGAACCTGCCGAGTCCGAACGGAGTACTAGAATTACATCTGAGCCATGCGAAAAATAATCTAACCAAGCTAGTGGATACTTACCCATCTGAAAATATTATAGATTTATCGATCTTCAATGAGTACAAGCCCACTTTTAGTCTAATGATTGAGCAAGATAATATTGAGGATGCGAATATTATATCTGATCATCCCTTGCTTATAACCCTCTACGATCGTATCAAGGTACTTGTGCCAAGTGAGGCAGAAGAAATGCAAGAAGAAGATTTTGCAATATATGAGGAACAATTAATCCCAATAGCACAGGGTCATATTGACCTACTGAGGCTTTGTACCAAGAAGCGTGAACTAATCACATTTCATTGCATTTTGTATCCACTATCGATGTCGCAATCTTCATTCATCAGTTCATGCACGACAATGTGGGAAATATATGCATTGCTGCCGTTGCTCAAGGACCTATCCATCTACAATGTAGCGTATATTTCATTCGAGTCTATATTTAACGTGAGACCAAATCTTATCGACGTTGTAGATTTGTTGGTAGCTGATATTTACTTTGAGTCAAAAGTTCCCAACGAACATAATCAGTACGAAAAAGTGAAATTGTGCACTTTCGACAAATTCTGCCAACAACAACTACCCGAAAATGGTTTGCAGCTAACATGGGCATCCTTAAAACGAGAAGAGCCTAAAAATTTCGATTGTATTGGCATCATATGTGGCAACTACATCAATATGTTTAATATTTTTCGAAAACTTGTGCAAACGGAGAGCTCAAAAATCAACTTTGAAAAGGTCAATTTAGATCATTCGGTAATAACCAGTAATTCAACGCACCGATTTGTGCTATCTGAGCAATTTGTCCGTGTTTTGGAAGATGTCATAGCATTCGATGAGCAACAACTACTAATTGAGCTACACCTTGTTGATCAGCCGCACCAGTTGATTGCGCAAGGACGTTTTGATCTATCAATTTTGCTTTATCCATATGGCAAGTAAACCAATTATGAAACCACGCAAATTTCAGTGAGCTATACCTACAAAAATATTGACGAATTTTATCTGATTTTCCAGCCGTTAAAGAGATGTAAGGTAAGAGAAAACTTATGACGCCAGGTGAAATAACTATTGGAGTTACTAGCTTTCGATACCAATTCGAGTTATCTCAGAGCCAATGCATAAAACAGTGCAATCAAAAAGGTTAATTGTACAAATTATTAATCACACAGTCCTGCGATTGTTTCTCCCTTAAACAACTAATAAGCAATTTGGGTTGATTTAAGGCAGTAAGCTACGATAATAATTTGTAAATTTAATTAATTAATATTAGACTTTCATGTAAATTTCTGAAGGTTCTAAAACAAATCTCGACGTGCTAGAAAAAAAAAACAAAGATATATTTTAATGTAAGGGCTTCGGAGCAATAGTTTTTTTCATCACTCCGCTCCCGCTCACAAAATAAAGTTTTTTTATTTATTTATTTAATTACTTTACGAGCCCTAACCGCAAAAAAATTAACCGAAACTTTTTTATACCCGAGCGCACTTGTACACGATAACTCGAGCAAAAATTGAGATATCTCAACGAAATTTGGTATGTAGGTTGCCCTTTATCCAAGGTAGGTTGGTATTGAAAATGGGCGAAATCGGACTGTAACCACCCCCACTTCCCATATAACGGTATTTTCGAAAAATGCAAAAACTGCCATATTTCAGTAAACATTAGATGCAAAGTGTTGAAAATTAGTATGTGGAGTAGAATTGTGGTAAAAAATAATATTGTTATGAAATTTTTGGAAAATGGGTGTGACCCCGTCCACGTATGACGAAATGCTGTATCTAAGTAGCCGCTTCACCACTCCCTACCAAACTCAGTAAGAGGCTTGGGTAGGGTCTAGCTAAGAAATCTGTTGAAAATATTTGAGTTCGGGCAATAACCACGCCCACCTGCCATATAACGGTAATTTACAGAAACACAAAAACTGAAATAAATCAGTACCTACTGGATCTAATTCACTTAAAATCGATGATTGCAGTAACCACTTAGCAGAAAATTAGAATATTATAAATTTTTGGATAATGGGCGTGGTGCACTTAATAACCTTGGTACGGAAAAGCCCACTTTATGAGTACAAGGTGTACCTCGGCAACCACTTTATCGATTTGTACCTAACTAAGTTCAATGATATCATTAAGTCTAACTGTGCATATTTTCAAAAATATATAAACTATTTAAAATCGGGTAAACGCCCCTACTTATCATGCAAAAGTAGTTCGGAGAAAGTTTAAACGACGATATTTGATACCTGCGCCGGGTATATAAATTCGGTTTCGCCCGAACTTATACTTATTTACTTGTTTAATTTTCGTTTTGATATACAAATGCATGTACTTTAATGGATTGAAATACGCTCGCTCCATTATATCTGCGTACATATTTGTTTTTAACCGACTTCAAAAAAAGGAGAAAGTTATCAATTCGTCGATTTTTTTTACCTATGTTACCGCATTACTTTGGACCACGTCAACTTATTTCGATAATACGTTTTCTATCGGAAATGTAGTGCCTCATAGGTGGTCCCATACTAATTTGATTTAAATCCGATCATGTGATTACGAAAAAATTAACGATAATCTTATAGCGTTTTCTTTTCTCGAAAAAGGGCTGCACTTATTCTGCCTTGTGTTAGAGCTGTCACATTTTCATGTTCTTTTCTCAGCCCTTTCACAAGGCGTCGTGTTCTTTTCTCAGCAGTGCTGCCTTTTCTGCCCTCAAATAAACGTGAGGGTGAGAGTTGCATGGTTGATTTTTAATTTAATCTTGCAAAAATGCAATTATTTTCCCTATCAGAAATAAGCGTTTTGCTTTAAAATTGTTAAAGACTTACAGGCCTAGTGAATAATTCAGCTTTATTAAGTTCTATAAATAAATTGTGATGGAGTAGTATATCTATCTTTTGACATCCATATTACATATTTAATCTATCTTGTCAATTTACCTAAACTGCAGTGGCAACTCTCTAATTTTTTTCTTCGTAATTAACGGGACTCCTAAATTTATATATGAGAATTGAAGTCGGTTGTGTTTGCTTAAAAATTATGGCGCATTTACATGGTATGAAGCCACGATTCAGAAAATAAAGGTCGCGCCATTCGCGGACCGCTAACCCTCTCATCGTCGATTTGACAGCATCCACCCAATCGCTGACGTCATAAAATACTTTTGTTTACATTCACTGTTGCCAACTTAATGCTTTTCGCACCAAATTTAGTGGGTATTCAAAACCCGAATATTTTTGAGTATGGTGCTTGGTGCGTTTTTGGTGCTTTTGTTTTTAGTTTGAAGACACCAAATTATAAAATCTTAAAAAAATGGAAGCAAAATTTATAGCAATCATAAGCGTGGTAAGCAACTTCACAAAAATTTTAATAAAATCATGGCACAATCATAAGCGACAACAAAATATGTGGCAGCACCTTCAATCAAGCCAGAAAAAATCGACCGTCGTGCAAGAAACATTGATTTTTATTAATTTGAATCGGCATCCTTACAATATAATTATGTATGCATATAAAGTCCATAAAATACACCAATAAATATTTGGTGCTTTTTCAAATTGAAAACTTGGCAATACTGCCTTTTGTTCGATGCTTCCTCATTTTCTTGTCCGGTTCGTCTTGCTCTCTCATTCTGGTATTTATTGACGTCACGGCCAGTTACTCTCAGCTCGATTGGCGCAATCTTGTATTCTATCATTCTTGGTATGAAGCCATATGAACTGTTGATACGCTAAAATAGAGGGACTACATGTTCTAATGAGGAATTCAATGATATCGAGTGGGATGCATATAATAAATTTTTTCATATGAAAAGTTATGGGGAGATACTGTAAACATACTGTTGTGATACTGTTAAGCATATGAAATTATAGCAAGTTGAATTTTCATACATCTTCCCATAAAAAGTTTAACAGATGCAGAGATACCAAGGAGGGTTTTTCCCATTTTGATGCCTTTTTAATATAAAAACCCACCGAAAAGGAGGAAAGCGGCAACTCCGCCATTCACATACATGTCAAAAGTATGAATTTAAAAATTAAAAACAATTGGGGTGTTCACAGTTCGTTCCAAATAGTGTCTCAAAATGTAGACGTCTACATTTTAAGACGTTTTCCAACCGTAAAATCTGTGGTGTTGTTGTTTCCCATACAAAATTGGAAAACGACGCCGTCTACATTTTGTCACACTCAAAGGTATCTTTTTTACGCGTCTACATTTTGCAACCTCGCAGCAGGGTTGCATTATGGCAATACTAATCGCATTTTTTTATTTATTGGGCACGTTTTCTATATTTGCATTTAATTTGAGCGCAATTTCTGATGAAAAGAAACAAATCAAGGAAAAGAAATAACAAATATTAGGAATTGGTAATTAAGTTAAATAATTACAATTTTTCAGTAACAAAATCGAAAGGCGACATATAAAAAAGCACGCAAAGAAGAAATGTCTGGCAACACCGGCAAAGTTTTGAGACGATTTTGCGACGACTGCTAGAAAGGGGTGCTCACAGTTCGTTCCAAATTGTGTCTGAAAATGTAGACGTCTACATTTTCAGACACAATTTGGAACGAACTGTGAACACCCCAAATAAACAAACAAATTCAAAACAAAGAAATTCTTTGTACTAGAACTTTTTAAATTGAAGCCACTCACGTTTAGTGGACA